TATATATTATTGCTTTAATTTTGGAAGTTGAGACTGAAGAAATTTACTAATAGTTCAAACAATCGAGTACAATACCACAAGTGATAGTCATCCCGAGAGATGAGTGTATCACTCGATATTATGTCTAATAGTTCCCCTATATAAAATAAAAATTAGATATGATTTTGATTATCTCGGTTACTAATTATCATATAGAGACGAGCTCCTATAGATAATTACATCTTAGACAGCCGAAGTCACCTAAGAAAACTTTTGATTAAGATCAGGTGTTTCGTCTTCAATAATTTAAAGTCAAGTTCACACGATGGATCGTAGGAAAATCAAGTTGGAAGGGCTCAAGAAATAACAAATTTTTTGGAGACCAAAGAAACTAGAAGTGGGGGATGTTACAGATTCGGAGGAGAACCTTGATGACTTCCAAACGAACTCGTTTTGACCCTGAAATAATTACACACACGCGCGCGCGCGCGCACACACATATATACACACACACAATTTAATTGAATGCAATGCTACAAAGGTAACGAACTCGTTTTGACCCTGAAATAATTACACACGCGCGCGCGCGCGCACACACACACATACACACACAATTTAATTGAATGCAATGCTACAAAGGTTTATAATCAATTAAAATTACTAACTAAAAATAGAATAAAAATATATTAAATTCAATTTAAATAAATATTTTAATATAAATAATAATATTTAAAACTTGCCCTTCCCTTAACATCCTTCAGTCGTGTGGCTCGAGTTCTCAAAAAAAACTTATTGTTTGTGAACAACTCGTGTTCGACTTGATATGCAAAAGAAGCTATGCACGACAAATATTTTGAGCTTAATATATAAACGAGCCGAACAGTAACAATAATATTTCTTAACAAATTGAGCCTGGGCTAGCTCAAGAACGAGCAAAACACGAACAAATTTTTTGAGCTAAATATATAAACGAGCCGAATACGAATAATGATAGCTCTTGACAAACTGAGCTTGGACTCACTCAAACTTGGCTCATTTACACCCCAACAGCTATATGTATGATTAGGGTTGTCAAAATAGCTTTTTGTTTGTAAACAACTCATGAATCGAGCACGAATAATTTTTTTTTTTGTTCAAAATATAAACTAATTGAACATGAACCATTACTTTTTAACGACCTGAAAAATGTGCTTAGCCCAAGCTCACTCGTGTTCGGCTCGTTTACACCCATAGTCGTGACCACATAATATTAATCAACTAGAAGTGAATATTATTTGATCAAAAATTAAATCATATATATATATATATATATAAAACTAAATCAAGCCACACTCTTTTGGCTAATTCAATTCAATTATAAGACTATCTTAAATTACAAAAATTCAATTTTAGAATTTTAAATCAATTGCGATCTTCATTAAAGCAAATAAACCAAAAACCGAATGGTATTAGAATTATAGATTTAAATTGATATAAAAAAAAAAATTAAAATTGAGCACACAACATAATTTTTGTAAAATATAAAATTGATGTTTAATGATTTTAGGCTTAATTTAAAATTTTAATTTACTCAAAATAAAACTGATTAAATCAAATTATATTTTTATTTTGGATCATTTTAAAAAAAACTCGTTGTTCGCGAACAGTTCGTGTTCGGTTCGTCAATGAGTTCGTGTTCGATTCGTTCAATTAGTAAATGAGACGAACATGAACAATTTTTTTTTTTTCGTTCGGTTAGTTAAACGAACCAAACATGAACAGTGATGCGTCCGTTCGTGTTCGAATCGTTATTGTTCGAAATATAAAATAATTTAAAATAATTATATATAAAAATTTATGATATTTAAAAAAAATTAAATTTCATAAATTATAATTTATAATAAATTAATAATAATATATTAATATACTATATTAGTAATATACAAATATATATATTATATGTTTATATAATATAAGTTTAATAATTAATATAATATATTATTTATATATATTAATATTAAGGATGTCAAACAGGCTCGTCATTTGCGAACAGCTCGGGTTAGGCTCGTTCGTTAAGAAACGAACACGAATAGTGACTTCACGAACAATTTCAAACACGAGCTTAATTCAAATAAACTAAATTTCAAACGAACCAAACACGTTCGTGTTTGGTTCGTTTACACCCCTAAATTTGCACACCCCCAAACATTTAATTTCATCAACTATGAAAATACCAAAAATTATAAATTCAACCCCTCTAGAAACTTCAAATTACTTTATATTACATATTGTGGTGTTGCAGAGAGAAATGCAATTTCCTTCATGACCGCTAAAAATGGGGGATCTCACATAGTACAGGGTCGCAACAAAACTAAAAGCCAGTCGGCTAAAATAAAAAAGGACAAAAAGAACTATAAAACTAAAGGGGCTTTTACATACATACCAATCAATTCCTATATATTTACATATCTAACATCTAAACTTTGTTTTACATTTCCACCACCCAAATCTTTTACATCCCTATTTTAACTTTTAGGTGAAATACAGCTTTTCATGCATAAGATGGCATATATGTAAGAACTGAAATTTAGATATTACATATGTAAATATATAATAATTGTGTGGTATGTATGTAAATTTTTCGAAATAGACTATAATCTAGTCCGATCCCCAGGCATCATTCTTCATGTTCTGCCTTTCATGTATCCTGTTCCTTCTTGCTTGCTCCTGCTTTCTGAATTCATCTGAGCCAGCACTGTTACTTGGATCGATTCCCATTGCATGAGCGATCAGTCTCTGGGCTGTTCTCGCTGATGTTTTTGGCCTAACGATAGGAGGTTCCAGATCTGCAATTCCGTTGTAAATTAGAATCAATCCAATTAGAAAATATATGTGAGCGAGTAAACAGCATGCTGAAAGTAAAATTGAGCAGAGAAACCTGCAAATCTCTACCTTTTGGGGAGATTTGCGTCAAGATGACATCCTCCTCTTCCAAACGACGCACTTTGAATGGAAATTTAATGCTACTTTGCGCCTCATTAGCTGCCAAAAAAAGTTGCATACTTTGTTCAAGAATTTCATATATATGTGCAAGTAACTACATATCTGACACGCAAACATTTTTTTTTTTTACATTTATACCACCCAAATCTTTTATATCACATCAAAAGTAATACTATTTTAACTTTTAAAAAGCGAAATTTTTCATGCACAGATAAGGTTGCGTGTAAGTAAAATCTAAGATATGAGAAATTGAATGTGTGTGTGTGTGTGGATGAGAAATTGAATGTGTGTGTGTTTGTTTGTGTGAGTGTGGTGAATTGGAACAATGTTTAGGCTTTTCGGTCACGTTGAATCAACTTGTTCCACATACAATAAAACATAAATTTCATCACTAGTGTATAAGATTTCTGGAAGGTTAGTTGAGAGACAAAATTTGATATAGATGTGATACTTTGGTTACATCCGAATAGTCCGAATAGTCGAGGAATTGCTTTACAATTTAAGATCAATGTAAATTACACACAATACATTTTTCTTTGAGGAAAATATTTCACCTTGTAACAAATCATTATAGATTTCCAAGATACAAGATCAAAAATCATGCAACAAAAAAAATATCATTATCAAGTGTTATGCCACATTATTTTTTAGTATTCAATCATGTGAGTTTACTTTTGTATGAGTTATCTTCATGCTTTGACCAATATCCCTAAAACATAACTAGTACATAAGTTTTTAACAACTGTCTACTGTACATTGGATTTTCATGCAAAATAAGAATAATAATACAGTAATTTACATCAGACTACTTACAGCATGCTAAACCGATATGTAATATAGTAAAAGTTCAAGTTAACTTTGAATTTAATCAGAGTCCTTAGTATAATCAAATACAAGGAAACTAAACTTGAATTAGGACAAATGCAGATTGTCATGTGAAAAATACAAACAATCACTCATAAAATTGGCGTTCTAAAAATTAGGAACAGGGTTACAAAAAGACTAAATCATATACTGCAATGAAAAGGTGATTATCAGAATAAGGTAAACATTCGGCATCCTCCCTCCTTGAATTATATAACTTATTCATGTAGGTTCACAATTTTTAAAAATGCTTCATGACGTCCCTTCACTAATAAAACTGCTAACTGAAAGAAAAAATAATCTCTATAAGTTTCTTCAACGATCACGCTGGTGTTTAACATGACTTTATCAAGATCTAGCAAACTTGCATCTTTAGCAAGGCCATCAAACTGATAAACGACGGCCCATATATCAAAACTAATGAAGAATCACATTTTTCTTCATTTTTCATTCAGAATCAATGGGCGCTTTAAGCAGTTAGATATGCCATCACCGCACATCCATAATGATGTTGTTATGGAAAGTAATAAATCTGAACTGTATATTATGAAGCTCGTATATTAGGATGTTGGGAGTTGGGAGTATGTATATATATGTAAGACTATATATATAGGCAACCTAATTAGAGATCGAATTACATTATTTTTTTCTATATTAGACTTATTCCTATTATAGAGAGTTGGGAGTACGTATAAATATGTAATATATATTTTCAATTGTGAATAAGAAAAGAGGAAAGTTTCCCGTTACATGGCATCAGAGCATCGTCGCACTGTTTCATCTGTGTTTGCATCGTTTGACGTCATCTATCAGTTGAACAAATCAATGTATTCAGCTTCGTCATCAACATCCCTAGACGTCTTCAGCTTCATCATCTGCATCACTCGACGACATCATATGCATCGCTCGACATCTTCATCTTCGATTTCATTTGAATGCCTCGCCTACTTTGAATGCCATTTGTAGAGCTTTGAACGATGTCATAGCATTCTCCTAGCGTCAGCTCTGTCGATCAAACAAATTGAAAACTTCGGCATCATCTTCAGCATCCCGAGACATCTTCAGTGCCATTATCTGCATCACTCAACGACGTCATTTGCATCTTCAATTTCGTCTTTTGATTTCGTTCAAAGGCTTCTTCAGTACTGTTCAAAGGCTTCTTCAGTACTGTTCAAAGGCTTCGTTGGCATCATTCGAAGTCTTTGTTGACTTTGTTGGTTTCGTTGGCTTATGTTGTCGGTTTTGTCAACTTCTTCGTCTTTTGTTGGTGTGTTTGTCTTCATTTTCGTCGAGGCAGTTGTCTCCTAAAGCTCGATATCATTCTTCCCAGGAGTTGAACTCACCCTTCGATTCATTCATACTGTTGGATTGATGAAGCCATAGGTGAGATTAGGTGATTCAATCTCCTTGAAAATTTGGTGATAATCATGGTTATGGATCAGAAATATACTACGACATTTTGGTTTCATCGGTGGATAAAATTACAAATGAAAAAGTTAAATGACTTCAATTCTTTTTATTGGAATAAAATTCTGAGACTCTATTTAAAGATTATTTCTCAAAAAAATCAGCTCATTGATAATTCTTCGATTGAAACTAATCGTAATTATTCAAAGTGGATGAGAATTGATGTCAAACCTTTAATACAAATATGCAACTCTATCGAACACAATCAATTTGGTCATATTATATTAATCATTTTGACTGTGTTAAAGATACGATGGAGGAATTTGTATTTGTGTTTTTTGAGAGAATATATTTCTCGAATTTCTTATATATGCAATGAGTTCTATCGAACTGAACAACATGATCAATCACTTAACACATATCACATGTACTTTAAACATGTTTACGAAGAATTGAACGCGCTACTACCCTTCAATATTGATGTTTGAATTCAACATAATCAAAGATAACAAGTAACTATTATGAGATTTCTAGCTAGCCTCAACTCTCAGTATAAAGGTCAGATCACATATATTATCTGACCTTGGATGTACTAATATGAGGGAAGCCTATAAAAGAGTATTGCATACAATTTTGAGTTTTCAGATCTCATTCGTACAATAATCTCATTCGTACAATAACCTAGTACTCATGCTAACCATAAAAATATAGATATTAGTAAACCTCGGTCTCAGAACAATTATAGAAGCGGAACTCCAAATTCTGAAAAAAATCAAAGGTTGAGGATAGTGTTTAATTACTACCATGAATCTAATTATATGAAGAAGGTGTCTCAATAGTTGTAGAAAAAAATTAGAAGGGTTCTAAATCACACTTAGCTAACATGGTTATTATGAATGAGACCTCTTAGAGTAGGACTCTCTCGATCTTTGTAGATGAATATGCTAAGTTCATCAAATTTCAGGAAGCATCCAAAAAATCTCCATCCAGCACTGCCCTTGTTGATTCAAGTAACAATAATACTAATCTTATCTCCTCTTACACACAATGGGTCACTGATTCTGATGTTACAGATCACATGACAAGTAATCCAAAACTCTTTTCTATCTTTTATAAACATCTTTCTTTCGTTATTTTAGCAATTGGATCTACCTCTAATATTCTTAGTTTTGGCACCGTCAATGTTACACCCACATTGCATCTAAATTTTATTCTCAATTTACTAAATTTTCTTTTAATCTTATTTCTGTTAGCAAAAGTATACGTGCTTTTAATGGTTGTATTCTATTCTTTCCCGACCATTATCTATTGCAAGATCTTATGACGAAGAAAATTATTAGTAAAAGAAGAGAATTGGAGGAACTATAAATATTGGATAATAAAGTACCTAGACCAGTAGCCTCTTCAAGCACCTTCTCCTTTAGATTGTGAGTTGTGTCAATTTGCTAAATACCGTCGTTTGTATTATATTCCACAAGTTGATAAAAGAGTAAGTCATTATTTTGAGTTGATTTATTCTGATGTTTGGGGACCATATCCTAATTTATCTAATATATTTCGATATGTTATCACTTTTGTGAATGATTTTTTACATATGGCTTGTTTTACTTTATGAAATCTTGTATTGAGTTACTGTTACATTTTCAATCATTATGTCAAAATTAAAACTTAATTCAATGATTCAATTATAATTCTTTGAAGTGACAAAGCCAGAGAATATTTTTCTGCACCTTTTCAGACATACATACCACAAAATGTGAAGCTTCAAAATCATCCTGTGTTTAGCTCCATCCCAAAATAGAGTAGCTAAAAGGAAAAATAAACATCTTGAGGCTGCTACAGATCTTTTGTTTCAAATGAATGTGCATAAAGAGACTAGGGTTCATGAATTTTCATATTATTTTATTAATCAGATACATTGTACTGATCTACAGAACCACACCCTACCAAGTTTTGGTTCAAAGTAACTCTCTTTCCTATTGAACCACACTTATTTGGGTGTACTTGTTTTCAAGACACTTGTTCACAAGTTTCTAAGCTGGACCCTAAGTCATTAAAGTATGTCTTTCTAAGATATTATCATTTACAAAAAAATGTATCGATGTTTTCCCCTATTAAAAATATTCATGATTTTTACTATGTCACCTCTCATGAACTAACCTCTTACTTTGGTGATTTATCGGTGCCTAAATCCTTACAAGATTCCGATGAGTTGTTAATGTGGGCATCATAATTTTAGATCTTGCTCCAGCTCCACCGTACCTCCACCTCCAATGCCTCAACCTAGACCACCTAATCAATAATGTTAACTTGAGAAGACAATGTCCCTCTGATCTTAGTTTGACACCGACAACATCTTCCTCAGTGGATCCCCCTCCTATTGACCTTAATTTACCCATTGTTCTTTGAAGAGGTAAACATCAATGTGCCTACCCCATTTCCTCATGTTAACTATAACCAGTTACATTCCACTTCTTACTCGTTTGTTGCTTCTCTTGACTTTATCGAGGTTCCAAGACCGTTCGGCAAGTCATATCCCATTCTAAGTGGCGGGCCACAACGTTTAATAAGATGAACGCCTTAATTGAAAAATAAAACCTGGGAACTAATTGATCTACCTTTAGGCAAGAAGGTTGTTGGTTATAAATGGGTATGTGAGTTAAGTTTCATTCTAATGAATCTGTAGCTCTCGTCTAAATGCTCGGCTGATTCCTAAGGGTAATGCACAAACTTATGGGATCGACTATTTGGACACATTCTCTCGGATA